GGGGAAGGGTGTTTCAAAAAGTTGTTTAGTCTCGCATGTGCCCTAAAACAATAAAGAATAGAGGTTTCAAAGGCTGTAAATGATGCAAAAATCTTGAATCGAATTTCACGACCAAAGAGTTCATGGATGTAAAATAATAACAGTACGAAGTCCAAGTTTGAAGTGGGAATTCATTGTCAAGACCAAATGCGCATGCAAAAGCTTGCATGGTTTTGTGGGAAGTCGGAAGCGTGGCGTATCCCATTAACATCATCTTTAATTACCTTTTTCCCATGAATACTGAACTATTTTGATCATCCAAAATCAATTAAACACACCTGGAGAGCAGAGATAAAGCGACCAATCCCTCCAGATCAAGCCCTCTTGGATGCGCCACGCAATCGAATCCTTTTCTGAATCGTGCAAGCATCACTCTTGCAACGAACTGTGACGCCAGCCACTTTAATTTTGATGTTTTTGCTACCCTAACCGATTTTTTGCCAATTGGGGGATTTAACATAGCGATTTAAAACTTGCCTGGTTGGGTGGGGATTTGATCCAATGGGCTATACAGGTTCAACGCCACGCCTTCAGCCAAAGGGCTATTTGCTTTTGTTCTAATCGTATTTGAAGAATAAAAATATAATGCTCATCCGTACGTAGCTTTAATGGCTAAATTGTTCTTTTGAAGCTAGTATGGTTCTATGCGGATGCGGAATGCGCCATGCATCCCACTGCAACGGAGCATTTGCATGCCTGTTTGCTTCTATAATGCCCGTGATGTTAATAATCTCACTAATCGGTACTTGATACATAGGAATGGCTCTTTAGTGCCCCCCCCCAAAGTTGCTGAACGAGCTTTCATTTCAGATATCACTTATTTTAGGAAAAAGTGGATGCTCGCCTTGCAACAGCCGTTCGCCGATTTCCATGGACATTCCATTATTCGCAAGGAAAAGGCTCGATCACCTCCGGTAAGTTCGACAAATCAAAGCTTTTTTACCCACCGGTGCCAAGGCAAGTTGCGCCATTGACCGGAAATTGTGCCGCAATCATATCTTATCGATGGATTTGAAGGGAAACTCCGCCCCTTGCTCCTGGGATTTTTTATTCCTCCAGAAAACCCTCCTATGGGATTACATCAGCTATCTCATCTTCAGAACCCCCTCTGGAATTTAAGATTTAAGTCCTTATGGTTAACACGAAATTGGCTCGCGGCCAATGTAGTTCCACGATTCAATAAAAAGCCGTTTACAGTACCCCAAAGGACGTGTCAAGGACAACCTTGGCACCGAGCCATCTCCCTAGACCTTTGGCCGCACCCGAACGCACGTAGATCCCGCCGACCCCGACAGTTCCCCTCGCAATCAACGCGTCTCGCCCCCGTCACCGCTAGGGCGAGAGGCGGGGCTTGGCGAGCTGCCAGACTGGCAGCGCCGACCGCCTGACCTCACCGTCTGACCACTCTGCGTTCTCGCTCTCATCGACGTCTTTATTGTTGAAAGTCGTCTGGACTCTCTGCTGTTAAGCGTGCTCTCGTTTTGCCTTGCAGTCTGCGTGCAAGATATCGCACACTATTTCGCCGTTGTCGTGTTCTCTGCAGCGTTCTACACCCTCGCCGGCTAGCGCTCACGGGGTTCGTTGGCGCGTTGCCAGCGAATCTCGTCGTCGTCCGTCTGCTACGTTGCCTCTTCCATTTCCCCCGGGGAGGTTACTATTCGTACTTGTTCTTTGTTTAAAGGGACTTATCACGTAGTCCATCACCGTTCTTCTGCATGTGTACTGTCGTCATTCTGCTATGGTTGCACTTTTGTTATTTTTTGAGGGCGTTGACATGGATGCCTAGTATTTTTACATTTCGTTGAAGTATTTGATATCAAAATAGTACTGCAACGGTCCTTGTTCTTTTTTAAAGGATGCAATACCACATTTTGACAAAGATATCATGCGAAGTAATAGTTGGTCATATTCGAAGTGTAGCAATTCTATGGCTTCCTCCTGCAATTTCCCACTTCCTTGTAAACCTAGGAGGGGGTATAGGGCCACAGTACTGCTCATGTGAAGGTCCTGCGAGGATTTTGCTGCTTTCTACCGTGCCGAGTTTGTCGTCGAAGACTTCACCCGCAGAGGGTTGCGGCTTGTCGTATCGATTGATTGGCCGCGTCGTTAATCATTGTGTTCGGACGCAGTCGGCTAAAAAGCGAGCAGTTGCCGCAGGCCGGCTTGTCCTGTCTCTGCTAAACCCATCCTTGACGTCACACAGTCCGTTTATGATCTGCTGAAACTTCTTCTCAACGCTGATTATGTTTTTGAAAGGTTACTCGATGTGGTTAGCTGGACGGGTCATCGTGGCAGTTACTGATAAGATTAGGCGTTGGTACCTCTTCTGCTGCGCTCTTTTTCCCCTTCATTTCTCATGTTTTTCTTGCCATTTATTAATGTGAGTATTATGGATGTCACTGTGGAATACATGTCGATATTTCTTGACATTTATCGCTTTGAACTTCCGGGATATATTTTTACGGTTATTCAATTCGTTAAAACTAGAAACTTTCACTCGCGCTACATCGGCGCTATCGCAGTATACAGGGGCATTGTCATAACAATGCATTCAAATCCGCGCATGTCATCTTTTTTGTTAAAAACGGGACTAAGCTTTAGGTAGTGATGGGGGCTCCAAGGTGCGTGAGCCATTTTTGTTTCCCCGGAGCTCCTGCTTCCTTTTAGGTTTAGTCCTAGAGGAAGCCCCTGTATACGATAGCGCCGCAACATCTGTTCCAAATTGCTCAGTAAATCATCGGTCTGGTTCTAAGTTATGGATCTGGCTGGACCGCGTTCATACTTAGCGTTTTGGGAGGAGTGATGAAATCGCGGAAGTGGTTACATAAGTATCGATTGATTTGACTGCGCTCAGCAGAAAATTTCATGGGGTTTCTAATCTTTTTCGGAGTCTATTTCAGTAAATTGGCAGGGTTTAGAACGCCCAACGTGTTTGAAAGCACGGATAGCATGTCCTCTTAGTCTTATGGTTTAGGACTAAGCCTCAGAAGAAAGAGAAAACCCGGTTCGGGTGAGCAATCCTCGTTGCTCTGGAACTTCACCTTCTAAGCTCTTAGTACTATGCTTATAGGTAAATATTACTTTTCATAGACTTTTATGTCATAAAACACATTCATTACATAAAAGCTAAAGAAAAACAGCGTAGGAAAAAAATGATAGCAGTTCGTAATTTTGAAGGGCTCTTTGACCCAAACTCTGCACCGCGATGCCTTTACTGGAGCAGACCTTCGCTTTTGCCATTTCTCGATTGCGCATAATCTGCGATTCTACGAAGACGCTGCTACGAACATGAGAAACCACTGATAGCATGTCCTCTTAGTTCTAATTTTTTCGGAAGTCATTCTGTTAACATTGGCAGGGTTTAGAACGCCCAACGTATTTGAAAGCACGTATAGCATGTCCTCTTAGTTTTATGGTTTAGGACTAAGCCTCAGAAGAAAGAGAAAATTCGGGTGGGAGCAATCCTTCGTGTCTCGCGGAATTCGCTCCCTTCATTGTCTAGTACGAAGCTGAGTAAGATTTTCACAACTTTAAATAACTTAGAAATTTTTCGATGAGCAATAACAAGGATGCTGTTATTTCAAACATCTTTTGATGCAGGAACTTCCTTTAGACATTTCCATCCCCTATTTTGCTGACGCGGTCTATGTTTATTTGTCTACGTAATTTCGATAGAGGAAGTGACTCAGTGGCAAGAGACGTTTTTTATGCATAGAGATTGTTATCTAACTTTTTTGGGAGAGAAAACATGCGCTCTGTATGGAATTGGGCCCAATGGTTTTGGTCACCACCGTTCATTTAATCGTTTCTCTTTTTTTTTCTGACAAAAAGGTTCCTATGACGACTAAAAAGTGCTTGCTAGTGATTCTTTCAATTCGGTTTGTGACCGACCCGAACCAAGGTTTCTGCTTTACTAACGCTCAAAATGTAGTTACTAGGCTACCAGGAAGTGCAGCAGGCACAGGAATTCGTAAACATCTGCAATTTCCGCAGTCTTCCAGTCGTGTTCAGTTATGGAGACCAGTTGAATGGCGACGTTCTTTCAATCATGGAGGCGACGGCCGGCCACTATGATGACTCACGAAGTTGGCTGGCAGCTTTGTCGACGACATTTTGAGTCTGTTCTTTCAGTCGACGACTTCCAAGCCCCTTATCATTCCTGGCCCTCAATTTTGCATAGGGTTGTCGAGACATTCTTATCGCGTTCCCGAGCCTTTGTTCCATCAAAGGACATTGGGTTGCGATTGTGTCGTCCCGCGTGCTCGCCGAAGAACTCGAATGATCAGCTGCGTCCTGCAGTGCTGATGCAAACGGCACATTATTTGTTGTTGACAGTCGGCTAGTCGATTGGTCGATCGGTTGGTGGTAGCGGGTGGTGGTTTGAGTGGGGCGAAGCATGTGCGCAACACGTGTTGTGTGTTGGTTTGTACCAGCCGCAGCAGTTCGCTGCGTTTGAGCGTTGCCGCCAAGCCCCACCGACCGAGCGCACGCCAGGTTTCCCTGACCGACGGCGACTGAAACGAGGTCGACTGGCCCATAGACCATACCGATCGCCCGAACTTATTAGCATGGCTAATCGAAAAATTAGCATTTGTCTCTGTCATGCGTCTAGTGTAGTGAACAGGAACCTTGATTCCAAATGCCTGACCTCTTGGATTTTTTATTTTTAATGCCCAATATCTTTGGGATTGGCTTGGGGTCGTATCCTATCCTCCCTCAGGTTAGGGAAGGAAAAATCCTTACAAATTTAACTTGATTTCCCAACCAAAATTGTACTAAAAATGGCCTACTCGTAATGTTTGTATGTGTGTAAATGCAGACTGTGCTGAAAAGAAAACTATACAGTTGAAAACAAAATTGCGGACTCTTGTCTTCTAGCCAGGGGAAGGATAGGATACGGCCCTTGGGCAGGAGGTTAAGCGCTCAAGTTGAATTCCTCTATTCCATACGCTCTGGAATTCATGAAACTGCTTGACATCTGTGATGGACTTCGGGTGCGTGGCTCAACTGGTATAGATTAGCTAACCTCGTGTGTCATCCTCCGGTAGACGGAAACATAGGTATTAACGAGGAGTTGGTTCGGCTTCATTTCCTAGACAGTTGCGTAGAAAAAGCAGAGGAATGTGAAATTCTAATACGACAACCCGAGTTTTCTCACGTGGTAAGCGACTCCCCCTCTCCCTCTCCTTCGTAAGGGTGCTAGCACGTGAGTTCTCTTCGTCACATGTGTTTTCCCGAACGGTCTTCTTCAATTGTATCCGCTGACAAATTCAGTTCTTTCTTCGAGTCACAACCTCCTTTGGTTCTCTTTTTGATGATTTTTCTTATTTCACGAATTTGCTACTAACCCTTGCAGTGAAATCTTCTTGGTTTCTGGTCCTGTTTCTCGAACTTCGCCTAGTTGCCTCAACTCTTGCGTTGGTTTTTTTTTCGGTAGGCAGCTTTATTTTATGAACCATAGCCATTTTCGAATGCATGGCGCTTCCTGTTGATTATGTGTCGGTGAACGTCTACCGGCTGATTTTTCTTCTTTCAAGTTCGAAAAATATTTGTAGGGCGTCGGAACATTACCCTGAGTTGAGCATTTGAAGTTGAGCTTGTGTCTTCACGAACAAATTTATTAGATCTTCAGGAGGGAGGGAGGGGGAAAGGTAGAGCTTGACTCGAAGATGATGCGATTATAAGTGGAACTGGCGTCATTGTAAGAAGAAAAATTGCTTCTGAGTCAGTGAGTAAGACCGGAAGCACTCGTCTAATTGGCGCGAACAGGTCGACTCTGGCATCAGTGCACCCCTGTTCATCCATATGATGACCTTGATTAGTCATTTCCTATCCTGTCAGAGGGAAACAAATGAAGGGATCCACCTTGTGCAGCGATTTGTGGATTTGCAGCGATGTCGTGCGTGACCTTATCACGTCGCATTTGGATCGTTCCAAGTTTTGCAGTCGAGAAAAACGCCCGACGCACATACCGCTCGACCTGCATTGGCCTCGTACTGAGTCGGCGTATTTTAGAGGTGAATTGCACGCGGTTATTCGAAGAACTTGTACGCGTTCTCATTCTTTGCATTCGTTACAGTTCGTAGACATTTTGAGCACATATTGAGGACAATAAACTGTTTTGACTTTTATCGTCCATATTCCGTGTACTGTACTTTGTGCGAAATGTATCTGTACTCAGAGAGGTGCCCAGCAGTTCTCAAGTATTTGTCTTTGACTCAATGACTCCCGAGTCGTGTTGAGTAGAATAGAAGCACATGAGGGAGACGTATTTTAATTGCCTTGGGATTTCGTCACAGCTGAGCATGAGTCACTCGCTCTTACCCGCTTTATAAGCTTGGTAGTGCTTCCCTCTTAAGTCTTCAATGTTGTTGTGTTCACTTATAGTCTATAACAAGATATTGGCCGAACTACTTGAAGTCCGGGTTATACCTTGGGGTTTTCGGTGCTTGCTAGCGTTTGAATATTTCTTAGCTATAATGAGGCGTTCATGTTCCAGTCGTCATTCTCGAGGAAATAGGTTAGTAAGCATCTTTGTTGGATTCGCCACGCATTATACTTCTACTCGGAGTTGCAATAGTATTTGAAAGCGTTTTGGTCTCAATTTATTGCCATCCGGTGTAGGAGTCAATGATTTAAATCTCTTGACGATACCTATCTGAAATCAACTAGCCTACCCGTAACAAATGGAAGGTCATGTTGCTGGCTTGGCATGCTTCAATCGGTTTTAACCCCTCGGTCGTGCGTGTGATAAATGGTTCCAAATTCATTGTGCCACCTCTCTCCAGTTGACCTGTTGAAATTCATAAATTTCTAACTTTGATTTCGATTCTGCAAGCTCATTTCCTATGATGTTATTTCCTATATCAGTAATGGTTGTCAAAAACTCCCCTTAGGGATCACCTGGTTTCTCCTAAACGCAGTTTTTCACTAGCACAGGTGTCTATCCAACATCCATAAATTGTTGGATGAAACATCGTGTAATCGTTAAATAGTTCACGATGGACGTCTTGAAGTCATTCGTACGTAGTTTCAGTCGTCCTATTGTACCGATGATACTCAGAAGTTGTAACAACGGGCGCTGACGCCCAGGATTTCAAGCAGTAAATTTTTATTGGTCAATGCCATGAAATAGCTGTCTCGAACATCGGCCAGCCTTACCAACTTCCACTGTCAATAAGAGACGAAAAACGTGAAGGACAAAATGCTTCTTATAATACTTATAATTACGAGCCAGCACTGAATGTCTATAGCATTTTGAATGGAATTCGATTGCTGACCGCTTTATTTTATTAATAGATGAAGTTCTCTTGGCAATGTCCGTTTTTGTACGGCTTCCTGCTCTTTGCTATTCATTCTCGTTCTTTTAGTCTAATTATATCCAGAGGTACAGGCCTTCGCATTCATCTACGGATCAAACTTTTCCCACAGATAGCAGGCGGAGAAGGGTCAGACAAATCAAGGTGGTAATCTTGTGGTAGTCTCATTGCTATGATTGCTTATTGTGGATTAGTCGGCTACGATGGAGAACATTGGTCTCGATGAATTCGCCGCGATCATGTTTGCGAGGGGCGATGGCTGGCGGTGGCGGCGGCGACCTCTAGTCACTTCCTATTTCGACCAACGTTGGCGACGATCTTTTTCATGTCGTCGCGATTTTTGCCGTCACTGTCGTGCGCGCGTTCGACGACGACTTCTCAGTTATTGAGGGCATTCTTCTCAGCGAGCGACAAAAAGTACATTGGCCCATATACCACTTTTTAATCGTTTCCAGCCAACATCGAATACATTGTACTGTACAAGATCTCTTTCTAATTCTAAATGCTTATGCATACAAGCTCGGTGAAAACTCGCTTAACCATTCCTTTCGGGAATGGCTGCTATTTTGATTTATTGTTGAAAAAATGTGAATCGCATTAAAAACCATTTGCTCATTTTTTATTATTTCCGAAAGACTGGTGTTGATTTCAGATTCTAGCGACCGGGTCTGATCAGAAGAGGTTGTTGCCATTGCATCGAGTCTCCTCGGTTCCACTGCATTCTCCTCTCAGGTGTGTATTTCCTCGTGTCTGTAGGTGTTTTTCCTAATTCGCTGTCTGTTCCGGTGTGCCTCTCTCTTCCACCACCGATTACTCTCGTTCTCTGCGCTCCTCGGATCACGCGCCTCAGCACCGACAACCTACTGACCCCTTCGATGTGACTTGTGCAAGCTGATTTGAATCGGTTCTACGCATGCGTCAGAGTGCACAGTCTTAAATTGAAGCTTAAATAACAGCCATGAATTTCTCGAGAGTGTTTTTTTTCCTTAAATCCATGCCCGAAACCTACTTAATCATTCAAATAAGGCGCGCAGTGTGCCAGTTGCGCACCTCGCGACCCAATTTTCAAATCTAGAGTAGCCATCTTTTCCGGAGAAAACCACAATCTCAGCGTTGTATGTCTTTAAAAAAAACTCAACGTATTCATAGACTTCTATCTTCTCATTGGCTGTATATTCAATTTTAACTGATATTCATCGGTTTTTTTTCTGTGTTTTACTAACCAAGCTTCATATGTTTTAGTCGGAGGTGTGACGGCGTGGTGGTGCGAGACATGTCCCCTGGACAAAATCCACAACAACAGTACGGAAACAATAGTTATAATAACAGTATGGCACAAAACGGACAAGCACCACCATCCAGAAATATGTTCCAGCAATATGTGAGTGTTTTCAATTACATTGTTTTTGGTTTTAATTTTTTTCCCGAATATTTTTTCGTTCAAGTTCAGCTTTTTTGAATTTTTTGGTTGTTTAGAGTTCAGGACGACCATCAGCAGGAAACAACAACATGTTCAGCGGTGGTATGCGGATGAGCGGTGTCGATTCTCGAACGTCGTATGCGGCGCCACCAAGAGATGACACGCCACTGCAAGATGGAACACCGCTAAGTTCGGTGAGTTTTGGTTTAAAATAGTTCGATTTTCATTCTTCCCCCCATACCACTAAGAATCTAGTGAATTTGATTTTGTTGTGGTCTGTTGTAGTTGAATCAAAACCATATGCTTGTGTTATGACAGCACTAATGATTATAACTTGAGAAAGATGAGGGAAAAGAGTGATATTCCAGACGAACCTTTATATACGTGGCCTTAGTCCAAGCACAACTGATGAAGACCTGCGAAAAATGTGCGCTCAGTACGGAACGATTACATCTACAAAGGTAAGTATGAACGTATATCACATTTAACTGCAGATTTTATTTTCAATCTTACTGTATCCAAACGTTATACGAACACCATGCGAGTGTTTTACATTACGGTCCCATTTTGTCTTTGTTACAATCCGCAATTTCTGAAACAATGGTACTGGATAGGCGGTCAAAGTTCAGGGATAATTTGGATTTTGCTTTTTTCTTGTTTTTATCAGCTCATTGAAATTTCTACAGGCTGCTTTTTCTGAACTTTGGCAGTAGTGAAACTGCAATAGTAATAAAGATTATACGTTCCCATATTGTATCACTTGACGAGCTTTTGTTCCTGCCTTCAACATTTCACGGCAAAACTCAAAGAAAGACGCATATCCTGGAGTATTGAGTCCATTTACTAAGTCGTTCTCTTGGCAGGCAATAATGGATAAAGCTCTAAATCAGTGCAAAGGGTATGGTTTCGTCGATTTCGAAAGTCGTGAAGCCGCTTCACGAGCAGTGGAAATGCTCACCAAAAATGGAATTCAAGCGCAGATGGCGAAGGTAATTATTGAGCATCCATTCTTTTTCGTGTGCAGTGTGATTGCATTGGTTTTCTACGTGATAGTGCTTTCATCTCATTTTGCGTTTAAGCAGCTTCAGCAGCAAGAACAAGATCCAACGAACCTCTATATTGCGAATCTACCGTCAAATTTCAACGAACAAATGCTTGAGAACGCGCTTAGCCCATATGGAATGGTGATATCGACGAGGATTCTACGGAATGCTGACGGGAATTCCCGTGGTGTTGGATTTGCCAGAATGGATTCTAAGGCAAGTTCATTCGCACATTTCCTTCCCGTTTATGTTTCATTTTCTTATTAGCATTATTTCACGGAATTCTTTAGGAAAAGTGCGAAGAGATCATTGCCGCGTTGAATGGCAAGCTGATCGAAGGCATGGATCCAAATGCAACGCCGCTACTAGTGAAGCAAGCCGACACTGGCAGGAAGAACACTCGTAAAAGAAGCGATATGGGATTCGAGTTGGGGATCTATCCGAGTCAGGTAGGGAGAGTTACCATTTCACTACCACTGTTAAGGTAAATGTTTGCTCCTTGTAGCCTTTCACAATGACCGCACCGCACGACTACATGAGAAACATGGGTGGAATGCCACAGATGTATCCAACACCATACGTAAACTACAGCATGGGCTATCCACAGCAGGTCACAGGATACACACGTGAGTCTTTTTAGTCCCTGGTCTCAGTTGAGAAACGAATGTGACTTGAAGCTCACTAGCCAGTTTGATTGCTTCTTCTACCATCGTAGCCTAAGCTTTTTAGTTAGAACCAGTCTAAGACGAGGGAGTGAATTGAAACTTGTTAGTAGTCACCTGGTGGGATTCAGTATTGGGTAATATAAACACTTAGCATTTTTTTGTATACAAGGGTGTTGGTATGAGAGGTGAATCCTTGTCTTCACATCTCTTAGCTGTATTACATTCGTCTTGCTTTGTTTTTCTTTTATGTCCTTTTTATCTAATCACTTGGAATGTTCTCGTGTGTTGATACGTGGAATTCTAGCCTATGATGTGAACGCGATGACTAGCCAAATGGGTGGAATGCAAATAGGAGGAGGAGCTCCGCCGTCAGCTCAGGATAACGGTGGATTGTACATGCTCCCGCAACAGGGATACTATGTGAATAGAAAGGTAAGCATATTCCCAATTCAATTTCTCATATCGAATCCCCCTTTCCTAATGCTGAGCTCGATCCAAAACTAAGGATTCACTCACTGATTGGTTTTGATTCGAGTTTTAAGGTTTATATTTAGCAATATAATGGAGCAGGCCAGTACGATGTAATGCAAGGCCCATCTGGCAATGGAAATGGTCAGATGACAGCTATGGGACACGTGGGACAATACGCTCAACCATGTGACGAGGACCCGTACAGAAAGATGAACGGCGGTCAGGTGAGCGTCATTTTCGAAGAATTGCTGCTTTTTGGTTGCGATAACAAGGGCAACGTTGTCCGTGAATAGCAGGCATTCTTGCAATAAGAAAGTGTCTGTAAGGTGATGAATAAGTGGAACGTTTTATTGATTAGTGGCTAACATTCTTGAGAATTCGAAGTAATGGTATAGTTTCTGAGTTTTGATTACTGGTTTTCTCCCGTTTTCGGGGTAGTGCTCTTATTTTTGTGAATTCCGCTGTTATGCATTTTTCTTTTCTATGAAGTTTAAGCAGTAGGGATCTGAATGATAAGTTCCAACATGGTCTTTCATGAGTGGGAGTGTCGAATTTTTTCAACCCTCCACTTGATAGGTTTACGGACTACTTGATTTTTCCTCAATGGTGGCTAGAGCACAGATAGAGAATGCCCTAGGACTAAGCCTTGAGAGGAGAGGGACCCGCTAGAGAGCGCAGAGGAGGTAAAGGGCTGAGTTCAAGTAGTCCGTCAGCCCTTCATGGTCCACGTTAAGCCAATAAGCTCTTTTTATGGGAAGGAATCTGTTTTTCTAGTGTGTATTTGTGTAGAATTTTTTCTTTGACCTACCCATCCAGGCAGCATTCAGCAATCCTGAATTTCCAGAGAACTTTGAAGTGAAAAACAGTTTCTTACTATTTCAAACATTGCTCCTGAGCGAAACTTTAGGAGCAAGGAATAGTAGGCCAAGGACATGGATAGGAAGGAATTTTTAGATATTCAGGTGGGTTTCGAGCTCGATTTTCAATAGTGGTTTTTTCAGGGACAGCTCCAGTAACTGGCATGTTTGCCTGCTGTTGACTGCTAATTTCTCGATGGTCTCATCGCCAATGTATTCATCGTATCGTATAGGAATTGATGGTTTTGTCATCCAGAGCATTATCTCGTGTTGTGGTTCTCGGCCTTCGGAATAGACACTTGAAAAATCAGCTCATATTTATCCATGTTGGTAGCGGTTGCGCGTGTGCTAGAGCTTCGTCGCTCACCGTGTTGCGTTGTTTTTGTCCATATGTGCTGCGCGCCACTCATCATGTCCCGATAAACGCATATTTAACCGATTTCATGTCTATACTAACTTGTTGGCAAATATCTGCTGTTTGCTGTTCTTTTGTTTCTTCTCGCAGCAATCGCTCGCGATCCTTCTAATTCTTCAACTATTACCGTCCTTGTTCATCACAACTGGTGTAGTGGGCCTAGCTCAGCAGAGAGTATAAATCCTCAAAAGGGGGATTAATCTAAGCAAGAGTGTTCGACGCAGTTCGCCGACACTGACTGTGTCATCAACTGTATAGATTGTTGTTCCATACATACTTTTACTTGAATTACATACTTTTTACTTTGAATTCGTCTTATTGTGGAGTGTTACCTACTTTGTACACCTTCGTCACTGATCATAGTTTTGTGTCGTTCGTTGTGTTCCATACTCATCTTGTGTGTTTCCTTTGTATGTTTCCAGCACCTCAATCTCCTCATAGTTACACAAAGACATGCGCCCGGGTTGAACTCTGCGCCCTGTCATGACACATTCGAAGACCCCGGCGTAATGTTGGCACCACGTTTCCTATAAATGCCGTCTTTGTCATGGTTTGTTTTCGTCTGTTTTATCAGATTTCATTTCTTTTTCTTCTCTTGTCTGAAGTGTTCCCCGTTCTCTTTTGTCACATTTTAGCCCTCAAATTGCACAACATGATTACGCGCTGTTTTCCCTCGTTTTATTGTCCTCCATGTTGCGGAGCAATTGTACACTTCCCTTGCCTCGTTGTGCCTTGGCTCTTACAATTTCGCTCTCTGTTTGAATAATAAGTTCTGTTCGGGAAGTATTCTATGATGACCGCCTATTGTCTTATAATGTAGTTCACATCCGTCATGTTTATACCATACCTACACAGAGTTCTCAAAATGATTTCATATGTTGTAAATAAAGACAAGAAATAAAGCATGAACGGAAGTTGGGATTGATCTGCGATCTACTCTATTTTACACAGTGTTTGTAGCAGCGATCTTTGTGGGCTCAGTGGTCACCCAAAAATTGCGGAAATGGAATTGGCACCAGGATGAAAATCGGTCGAGGATTCGTCGACGATTTGTCGATGATTTTCGCCTGTCCAGTCACGCTCTCCCTGCGGACATTCACTCGCCCGCGCGAGCAGTCTGTGCTCTCCGATTGTGTATTCGCTCTCGACGCTATTCTCACACACTACAGTGCCAAGGATTACATGGATCGTTACTCACCTTGATTGGCACTGCTATCCGAAATTTGCAAAAACAGTGTAGTACATTGGTACTATCAACAAATACGGAATGTTTGTATGTCGGTTGCACTGCTCTTGGCGTTTTGCCAAGTTTTTTGGGGTCAGTTTGAACCCTTATTCCTGATGGCTGCCCGGGGCCAGTGCTGTCTCACATTTGTTTTCATGCTTTTTTCCCTTGGGTGGGCTATCTTGAAGATGGAAGTCTCCCGCTCCTACACGAGTTTCAGGAGTTAGATGGTTTAACCCCTTGCAAGATATTTAGCAAAAAAAAATTCCCGACTCCTTACAATTATGTGGAATGGAGGGGCTCGTTGTGGACATCGACTACGCGCGCACGACCAGCCAACAAATCCTGGAATAAATCATCTGTCCCAGAGTCTCTCACCTAGAAAACCACCATCCCTTCGGCCATGGTTACTTAGTATCTAACTCGCCAGGAAGAGGATGTGCGCAGGCTGGTCCGACTAAGTTTTCGTATAAACCTAGTCGAGTTTATTTGCTCACGATTCTGGAAAGAAATTAGTAATGATGTTGCTGCTTTACCAAGATATCGGGTGTGGAACTTGAGAATCCTGCTCTTGTTGTTTGGTCGCTACAAGCTGTTACCAATGTAAAGGTCGCTCAAATCCGTTGCTGTCCTCCCGTAGCCTCCCACACCCACTGAACACCCTGTAAGATTCATCTACTGAGATGAAGCAGAACGTGGTCATTTCAAATGTCTGCGAAGTAGAGGTTCAAGTTTGTTGGAGAAGGGCTTTTTTGATTCAAGAAATGCTCCTTCATGTCTCAGAGACGACTTTATATAATTAGGAAGCCCAAGTATTTTTTTCTGAATTGGAATCGTCCTGAAAAAGTTGGTCAGAAAAATTAGGGGTCAAGCGCCACCCGCTCACTTGCCAATCCTCAAATTAGCACTACTCTCTATCTTTCATTCCAGTATTCCAATCTTCGCAAGAGGCCGCCAGATGGGTGAAGAGATCTACACAACTGGTGAGAGCGAATAGCCTGGTTTTAATATTTCGAACTCCCTTGATCGCCAAGTCTTTCCTCTCCAAAAGATTCCTTATTAGTCCTTTTCCATACGGAGCTGAGAATAAACTATATCTTCAGCTTCCGTTTATATCGGATCGCTTTACCGCAGTTATACAACAATGCCTAAGAAGAGCAGATTTGGCCAATGATGTCTTCTTGATCAACATACCAAAAGACAACATCAAACACCAGTTGGTCAGGAATCGACTTTACGATCGAATCTGTATCATGGAAAACTGCGTGATCTGCCCGTATGGAAAAGTTGGAGACTGCTGGTTGTGAATTTGAAATCAAGTGTACAATATTGGCCTACGAAAACGACATTGGTGCAAGGAAAACCCTCGAAGCTTTCTATATACGGCAACGTAATCCTTGTATGAATAACAGAAACGAATGCATCTCCATAACTGCTGACTTCTTACCCTATATCCCCCTCTGTGAACTAGGATAATGAGAACGTCATGCACTGCACGTACACTCTATATAAGCAATGCACGACTGGTTGTCTCATTTTATTTTACTGTATCTGGAGACCATCAAGGGAAGCTGCTGATCCAGAAGCGGTGACGCTGGTGGAGTCAAGGTAGGTGACACATTCCTGGGGTTTTCACTCCTTGATTCATTAGCTTGGGTGCCACTTGGTCAAATGCGATTTCATAGTGAGCGGATAGGTAACAATTTGAATGACGCTTTCAGGCTTTTGATAACGACGAGCTAGTCGAAACGTCAAGCCCAATAAAGATTCCATCGTACAAAACCTGTGTGGCACAAAAAGATTACACAACTGTTCCTTCTCATTTTTACAAATGGCTGCCGAGCTTTTCGAAAAAAAACACCGGGTCTCTTTGCAAAACTATTAATTCATTCTTCTCTCCTCCCCCTCCACTTAACAAAACACGGGTCCTCTTTTCAAAAACTACTAATTCCATTCTCTCTTCTCCCCCCCCCCCACTTCCAACCTGGCCCCGAAGAGCCTGGTTGGAGCATTCAAACACTGTTGCTTCTTGTGTCTGGTTTCTGAGACACTATTCCACTGTTACAAATCCATTTGAGGAAGGAGATTATTTCTCTTCTAATCTTAAACGTTTTGATCACCCTACTGCTTGCTTGCCATATGTTTTGAATGGTACGCCCTTCCATGTAGCAAACAACTGAAAAAAAAAACGAAAACGAGAAAAAACGAAAAAAAATTGAAAATATCAAATAAGATTAGGGCGAAGGGTGCCACTGTTTCTTTCAAGATTTCAATGCCAGCGTCAGATACGGAGCACCCTGGACTTGGGTGCGAAGGCGATGGAGATCTCTCCAGGCGCCAACGAGCTGAGCCGTGCGAGCAGCAAAGTCCTCGAAAGAGGTTCACTGTTAGGCTATGCGTTACCCCATGAAGTCGTCACCTGCCACAAGGGATGGTCGTTGCGGGCAAACCGCGCTTTCCGGAAACGATTTCCACGCGACATAGGGTGGTGTGCATGGAACGCAGAACCATAGTCCGTTTCCGCCGAATGATCAACTGAATGCCAGAAAGTGAGAAGAAATGGTCCGTGGTTCGACTTTCCGCGGCAGACTATCGCCCACTGAGTTGGCGCCACAGAGTTGGCGTCAAATAACGTTATTACAAGAATGAATGTCACAATTATAAGTAGGAGGAAGTTGTGACCAGAGTCAACCCTGCGTTGCGCAGTTCGCAACGGCACGTTGAGAGATCCTCAACGCACGCTGTATGGGCGGAGACACAGACGGCTCGAGCATGCGAGTGTGAATGTTCGCGCGAGAGAACGTGTCTAATCGGGCGAAACTGCGCAACGTGGCCGTTGAGAACTGCGCAACGCAGGGTTGACTCTGGTTGTGACCCAAAACGGGCCCAGGTGTTCGATAACGTCATAGTGGTACCAAAAGATATCGAAGCAGATAATGAATTCAGATGCATAATCAAGAACACTTACAGCCAAAGTTTCCGTATAAAATAAGGCTTTGTTTCGATTACGTAAAATTGGTTCGTGGATGATCGAATGTGGACGACTCCCCCTTCACCCTTCTCAGAGGCAGCGGTTACGATAAGTTCAAGAAGGGTTTACTGTGACGTGGTGGCACTCAATGGTACCCTAGCAGCGGAAAAGCAGAAAAATCCGTCAAGAAAAAACGGGACCCTCTTTTTTGGCCGTTGGTTTCCACTCATGAACAGGTAACAGCTAAGAAAGTGGACGTATGAACGAGTTCACCGCAACGAATTTGATGGCACCATGCCAAACTACGCTTTAATCGAGATGCTCCATTTGCGCCGCTGCTGGTCACGCAGCTCGTCCAAATCAACAAGTAAACTTGTGGGCGGATCGCTTTTGGGGGCGGAGCGCTTTCGAAGTCCTGCTCAGCAACCAGCGCACCTTTCGTTGTGAAAGCGCCACATCTCGCTTTCCTGGCAATCTAAAGTCAGCTAGTCCGTGTGGTGTCACCTGGATTCCTAATTAATCCTTCTTAAAGACGCTTTCCCAAAGGAGACAATACAACAAGACCATCAGGACTTTTCTGTGTTCTAATGAGCATGATTGTCAATTGTTTTCACTAATGGATCATATTCGGGGAGAATATGGCATTACTTTTTAGAGCTGGCGCCATTCAGCACCACTTCGTACGTTTTTCGCCTCTTTTCGCTGATACCTAACCTTCTTAGAGATATTAATGGTCTCAATCTTGGAGAAAACATTATCTAGGCTGAAAAAATTTTGATGAAAATTTATTGCATATAGTGCATAGGGCGTATTGCCTATGGGGCAAATTAGAAATGATTCAATACTATGTGTAGCTCGGCGCACATAGTTAGCTAGGGGTTGTAGGCCACAAATACACGTCACGCGTGATAAAGTCATCCGGGTCAACTCGAGCCAAAATAGCCAGTCCCACAATGTTGTTTCTCTTTTCAGGCCGCTGTTATACTCAGCGAACTGAAGAATCGGTGAAATCCGTTAGCATGTTGAGTGCTACACTATTCGATAATCTGAAGAATCTCTTCATAAAGGTAGCGCTTGACAAGCATAAGACTTAAAGGCAGCGATTACGATAAAGAGGGAGCGCATGGTGGAAGCATATGCACCACACGAATCAGTTACTTGGCTGCCAGGGAAGCGAGTGTGGCGCTTTCACGACGAAAGGTGCGCTGGTTGCTGAGCAGGACTTCGAAAGCACTCCGCCCCAAAAGCGATCCGCCACCAGTTTACTTAGCGATTTGAACGACCTGCTTTGACAGCAGCGAGCATCTCAATTAAAGCGTGTTTGGCATGTGCCACCAAACGCGTTGCGATGAACTCGTTCATACGTCCGCTTTCTGAGCTGTTACCTGTTCATGAGTGAGAACCAACGGCAAAAGGAGGTCCATTTTGCGTTTTCTTGACGGATTTCTCCGCTTTTCGCCTTTTACCACTGAGAACCACCTCGTTTCCTCTTAACCCTTGTAATCGCTGCCTTTAAAAGAACGGTACCAATACACGACCACTACCAAGCCAAGAGAGGCTATTAGGAAGTAGATTCACAAAAGCAGTAGATTCACAAAAGCAGAACAGTGGGTCAAATTGACAGCAAAGATTGACGAGGCGTAGATTTTCGACGATAACTGTAGTTCCATCGAATGGAGAACAGGCGCTTTTGTTGGCCGCTGGTTGCTTTTGCGGAAATTGCTCAATCAACACTCAATTGATCTATAGCTTCTGGACCACCTTACATTTAATGTTGTGGGGAGTTGTAAAGAAATTTCGAAGGCTTGATATACTTGCTTCTCTGCATATTCGTGCCGAATCTCAAAAGCTAGCCAGCCCACCTCCTTGCTCTTTCCATGGCTTAAACCCGAATTTTTGAGTAACTGTTCAAAGGAGGGCAGAAGTGGTGTGGTGGCTAGTGGCCTTGTAACCATGTGAGCGGTTCGGGGATCAAATCCTGGGTTGCGCGTACAAGCAACCAAGCCTTCCATCCCTCCGGGGTCGGTTAATTGGTACCAGACTTGTCTGGGAGGATAAAAAACTGACTTGTACATCGGCTGGCCCCTGCAAGTCATTGTATGCCATATCGCATTCACGTCCCACCACGATTCTGAATGGGAGTAGAACGCGTGGCGCATCCCAAGAGATCAATCGACATCGAAGCTCCGCCCACCCTTGTCTACTAATGAATATCGTAATCAACACATTCTCAACGCCTCGTACTATTCCTAGCTCGTCTTCCTAGCTACGTTCATATCTCACCAATCCTACGATCCACGACCCTTTATGCCACCTGAATTCCTTTGCCGGCTGCTTTTCACCAAGCAAACGTGGGCCTTTTGACCTACGCCTATACCGTACAGGAGTTCGTGTCTGTAGAGCTGTGCAAGAAACACCAAGTAACAACAAACAATTTATTCTTAAAATATAACAACTTTAGGCTTTGCTCTCTGCAAGGAAATCTTTCTTGAGTTTGCCCATGAACGCCTTCTTCTCAGCGGTAGTTTGGAATCGTCCGTGTCCAGTTTTGGAGCTGGTGTCGATCCATTTCATGTTTATCTTCTCATGAGCGAATCTCTTGGTTTGAACAACCAGAGACTTTCTAAGTGTGATGAGACGCTTCTTGGGTCCGAGGACGGCACCACGAAGCATAACGTAGTCTTGGTTCACGAGACCGTAACGCGGGAAGCCTCCCTAAACACGAAGAGTAGATAGGACAAAAAACAATAGGATAATATGCAATCTTTCAAGACGACATCCTCAGATTTACATTTCTCCGTCAGGAATTAGGAATTGCAGACTTTCTCGTCACGGGATGTAAACGCAAATGTAGGAAGAAAAGGATCTATACTGAAACATACCATTGGGTTAATGCTCTTCTCGGTGAGATCGAACTCAGTGGCACCATTGTTTTTGCCCTCAGGTGTAAGGCATGAACGTCCAATTCTATAAACTTTGTTGTTGATGTGAGTTCGGTGATGGAATCCCTTTTGACCAGCTCGAGCAACAGTGAACGCAACTCGAGAAGGATGCCACGCTCCAATACAAGCAACCTAAAGACGCAAAAATTCAAGCAATGTCCAGACAGAAAGAACGATATAATCTCACCTTACGGAGACCCTTGTGGGTTTTACGCGGAAGCTTCTTGGTTCCCCATCTGCTTGTTACTCCCTTGAATCCATGACCCTTGGTAACACCAATGGTGTCAATCATTTCATCCTGGGAGAAGACAGTGTCGATGGGGACCTGTTTCTCGAGGTGTTCCTTGGCCCAATCGACCTTCTCAGCGATGGTTCCTCCATTAATTTGGATCTCGACAAGATGTGCTTTCTTCTGCTTGCGGTTGAGGATCTTCATCTAAAACAAGAACAACTAACTAGAGGTCTATTTACCACCTTCTTCACCAATCTTACCTGAGTGTGGGCAACAACACGGATTGAAGAGCAGTACTTCTTCATTTTGTTGAGGTCAGACTCAATCACCTTCCTACCGTCCTCGTCCATCCATTTCTTTGCGTACTTGGTGAAGGCCTTCTTTTTAGACTTGCACCTACAGATGAATTATTGAACCCTCTGTGGCGACGCAGTACCTCTTAGGTAGCAGCGTATGCCACAACAAGTTCAAATCCCTTCATGCCCCAAGAGCAGAGGAAGGGTATCATCATAACTTGACAAACAATCATACTCATGTACACAATAGTACAGAGGAGATGAATGAATGACATAAACTGCACACTGGAAGCAAGCACTTAGAGAACCGGTCTGTAGAAAAAAGGAGAAAGATTAACGCTAACCAGTTCTTGTAGAAACGACGGCGACAATCTTCACTGAGATGCTCGGCGAAGACCGATTTGAAGGGACGAGGGCCACGAGGAGTATCAATGTATCCAACGATGCCAACAATGACCATCGGTGGGGTCTCGATAATGGTAACAGCCTCGACGACTTCTTTCTTGTTTACCTTTGATCCTGGCTTATCGACCTGAAACGGTAACAATGTCCGGACATCTCACACAAAACACTCTGGAGATCACAGCCTGAGCGGGCATGTTTCCGCAGGACCCGATACCGAGGGTGTGGGGGGCTAGAACAAAAAGCGACATTTCCCCGTTTCGCAGCGCGAAATATTTTTCGTTGCGGGGACTCCAGGTCCACTCATACGAGCGGTAGACTCGAGGTTCCCGCAGCGAAACCCAAAATCACTTCTTGTCCTAGCGTCACACCCCCGGATACCATCTCAAATCAATAAGTAGGACAGCAAAGCAAGGTTTCGCTCTCATCAGTAACTCTGGAGGCCCTGCCTAATCAAGAATTGAGTCAATCACCTACCGCTATTGCTATCGTACACTCTAGGCAATGGTAAGTTTGAAGATGCAAAAATCCGTCTATCTGTTTTATCCTTTTGGACGCAATAAAGTAGAATCAATAGCGCGTCAGCTATTAAAATTCGCAAGCAGAACCCCTACTAGTTACATCCGACCCACAACAATTTATGATGAATCACAACGAATAAGAAGGCAATCACTGTTTGGTTTCTACAGGGATAAGCATCTTCCCGATTTTCACAGTATCTAAACCATTTCACGGTGCTAACTTAGTTGGGGGGGGGCACGCGGCGGCGCGGCAGTCTGCTCGCCTGGCATGTTCGGAAATCCGTGGGCCAGGGGGAGTGTAGCAGTCTAGGGGGTGGGGGGTGGGGGCAGTCACTTGACATGCGTGAAAAGCTGGAATGTTCGAGTTTACACTGTCTCGCTCGAGAGAGCCCAGGTGAGCAGACTGCCGCGCCGCCGCGTGTGCCCCCCCCGGTTGACGGACTACTTGAACTCAGCCCTTTACCGCCTCTGCGCTCTCTAGCGGGTCCCTCTCCTCTCCAAGGCTTAGTCCTAGGGCATTCTCTAATCGTCTGTGCTCTAGCCATCGCGGCAGGACCATTGAGGAAAAATCAAGTAGTCCGTAAAACCGCCCCCCCCCAACTATTATTAGCACCCATTCACTGCCGTGGGTTACGGGTAGTACCCTCTCAAATTACATTGAAACAATGCACAACTTCTTGAGAGCTGCACTTACAAGGATGATTCTGACTACTTTTAAAGTCCCCTCACGCAAAGTTTTGAAAAGGCATAATACACCATGAACTAAAAACTTACATCACGGACGATGTGGGTCATGCCAGCTTTGTAGCCAAGGAACGCGGTCAGATGGATAGGCTTCGAAGGATCATCCTTTGGGAAAGCCTTTATTCTTCCTCGATAGGTCCTGGATCGTTTCTTCGGCGTGAAGGCCATAGAACCGTGCCTTGGCGCCGAAAACTTACGGTGCGACATTTTTACCCTGAAAGAAAACTGATCAAAAATGAATACTTCAATTTTACAGAGCTAATAAAAAAGCGCGAACGAGAGAAGATAAGATAATGATATGGACTAGCAGCTTCCAAAACCCTCAGCTTTCAATTCGAGAGGCCGCGAGGATTACTTCTTATTAGTGAAATCAATTCAACCCTGCAGGAACGAATTTTCTTCACACGTCATGGACCCTTGCAGTTAAGACTTTGAAAGAACGCTGTTTATGAGAGCTAATAAAACTATCTACACATGCTCACATACTATACATGAAATGTAGCCCACCACAAGGAATGAAAACAAGCACGAAACTATACCGCAAACGAGAACTGACGACTGTCTATAAAAATTTAGGCCCAAAATTTCTCCAGCTAGTGTGCGTTCATCTTCGTTCGGCCGTGTGGCGTATTGTAGAGCGCGCAATTCAAAAGCCAATTCGATTGCTTAGAGCGCAGAAACGTGGCACGACAGGTAACGGAGCTCGGACCAGGGTCGGTCCTATCGTTGTTACTTTTCGAAAAATTTTTTACGACCCCCCTCCCCCAACGTGGATTTGATACGACCCCCTTTTCCCTACCTCCACCATCTCCATCTTCCATCAAAACCCCGCCCACTTTTTCCTCCAAAAATGCCGTCGAGCGGGGAGGGGGATGGGGGGGTATGCTACTACCCACGAAATCTTAGTTTCACCTCAATCCCACACGTGATTTCGAGCAACTAAAGTGGGTACGACCCCCCCCTCCTACAAACTCAACCAGGTACGACCCCCCCCCGTTGTTACTCGTAACAACGTAGGGTTGATGTTCAGCATGTTAAGGGGAGAATATCGCGATTTCTGGGTGGAAGAGGAATAGTAGCAAGTGTGCTACTTACTATCACACGCGTGTGCATGGGTCGCTAAAACAGAAACCGACATTTTCTCTCTGCAGCGCGAAATGCGGGCGACAATTCAGGAACATGAGTGTACCTGGGTTTTTTGCAGCGGAAAAGCTTCAAATTAGTAAGCAAGAAAGTCGCTTTTTGTCTCGAAGAGCCATGTCCCACATGCTGTTAAGGGGGTTTGGTCTTGAATCAGATGGCGTTCCAGGCCGAGCCTTCCTTCCCTTTGGCATCGGACACAGGTGAGCACATGGTTCTTCCGGGAAGATAAAAACGATGGCTAGTAGTTCGGCTTGCCCTGGCATTTCCATGTCAAGGCCGAGTTACACTGAAATGTCATTATCGAATGGAAGAGGAATGTGTGGCTCAGTCTACAAGTACTAATCGGTACGATATGAGAAATCATAATCCCCCTTCTTCCACTCCCAGTAAGGCCGATGTCAGACTTTGCGAATCGCGCGATTCGCTAGGCTCGTCTGCGGTCGCGTTGCGGTACCAGCCAGTTGTGTGATTCACTGGCCGATTGCGGTCGCGTCGCGGCTATGCGAATCGTGCGCGCTAGTAGCGAATCGCGCGATTCGCAACGATTCGCAAAGTCTGACATCGGCCTAACGAGGGTTGCTATGCACATTCCTTCTATGCGTACAGACAGCACATGAAGAGAATGGCAAAGCGTTGGTTGACAGCATAAGGTAGAAACCGTGGTCAACTTCAGACCACTGCAAAAGTTATCTAGAAAGGGATAAATCACAAATTTTTAGGAGAATTCTAAAGTCTCAGGACTTGCTTTACAATGAGTACTACAGGGGGTCCCATAAATACTGCACCACTTTTCTTTGCTTGTAACTTCTTTCAAAATGGATGTATTTTACAAGAAGTTTTGCAAAAATTTTAGCAATACATTTACATATTGAAAGGAATGACATTCATTGGATATGCTGTTGTTGTGAGTATGGCTCCCAATTGCTTCGAACGCAACTCTACTGTGGCCCGCATGGCATCCTGGGGTGTTCTCTTCGAAACTTTGCAGAGAAAAGGCTCCGGCTCATCCATGTGGATGCAATGTTTAGTGCAGGCTCTGCCCTCTAACATAGCCCACATAGGATGGTCCAGCACGCTGAAATCAAGGGATAGGAGAGCCATTCGTTCGAGGATGTGAAATCGGAAAGAGTGCCTAACAGCGCTCCTGAACAATTTTTGCCTCCTATGCAGAAGCTGGGCCCTATTGAAAAGATCATCACCCCCTCCTCAAAGTGGCTAGATACCTCAGTAACCGATGGTGCACCGAGAATGTCCCTTGGCTCGATCTAGTATCAAGTTGTATTCCTTTGTAAACAGGCGGTGATGGTGTAGCGACCTGTAGTTGAGAACCCTGTCCAGACCATGATAAGGTTCGGCTGCTGCTTGTGGCGAATATTCCTTTCACTCTCACTGACTTCCTCAAGACCTCATGCGGGCATCCTCGGAAGTTTGAAGATTGTAGCTCCGCTCCATGTGAGGAATTTTGTCGTCGATGAAAACGGTGCCCGCGTAATCGCCATTTTCGGCCCTCGACACCAGCTCTTTGAACTTTTTATTGAGCAGTGGTGCTTATGCAACTTATAATGGACTGTGAGCAGTTGTTATCCGACCACTCTCTACATGGCTGTGTTTAGAAACTCCAGCGTTCTGGTCACCTTTCTCGAGCCAACCCGGGTATTGCAGTCGTTTCGCTTCTTCATGCTTTTCCTGAGATCCAAGATGTCAGAACTTGTGGGGCGGCCACAACAAAGACTACTTTTATTGGTCTTCTCTTTAGGCCGCGGAGCGGTTGAAAATCCAAAGAAGCGCGATGCTCATCACCGGATGTCCGACCTAGCTGTGTGAGAGGTTAGGCACTCTGTTGAAGTTTAGGCGCACCATGAGATGCAGGCCGAACGGTAAGCCGTGGAATTTGGCATGGTCATTGACAAGAGGATAGAGGATTGAAAGGTCTGCAATCTCGAAGAAAAGACACCGACATAAACAACGACGACAAACATATAAACACCGACAGAATTTGAGCTCAAAATGTGGTGCAATATTTACGGGACACCCTGTAAATTAATGCCACAATGGGAAATGACTTATTACAGGGAATAACTAGTAAAATTTCCAAGGTATGCGAGTTTTTACACTTTCAGGAGATATAAATTCCTTCAAAGCCACCCAGTCGAGAAAAGAAGTGGGGCAATGTAACTTAAAAGATTTTCTATTGTTGTAGAATTACCAAAGTTATTTGGGAACTCTCCGTATTAAAAATGGTCCCAATGAAGGTTTCTTCTCGAGAATCGCGAAGGAATAGTGTTCTTCATCGCGCTGTCACTTCCAACGACCACGAGTTATTTCTTGAATAATAAAAATATTTGGCGCAATGTGGCTCGGGGGGGGGCAGTCGTCGCGCGCGGCGTTGCGGCAACAGGAAATTTCGAGTGTGGTGTGCGGGCGCAATGGTGGCTCGGGGGGGGGGCCAGTCGCCGCGCGCGGGCGTTGCGGCAACAGGAAATTCGTGAGCCAGGGGGAATGTAGCCAATTCAGGGGGGTTGGGGGTGAGGGCAGTCACTTGACATGCGTGAGAAGCTGGATTGTTCCGTGAGAAGCTGGAATGTTCGAGTTACACAACATCGCTGAGCGCGCGGCGACTGCCCCCCCCCCCGAGCCACATTGCGCCCATTAAGAAATGTTTGTATCCTTTAAGCGGAGCTCCAAAATCTATGCAAGAACAGAACACAAAAAAATTTCCAAAAAGTAATGCCGAAAGTGTTCATTTTGAATGTAGCCATATTTCGGTGATCAGCACTTCCGACCTGAAATATTTACATTAGAACGTTAGTCAATATTTTGGGAAATTTCTAACTAACTCTCTGCTCCGCCTTTATAAAGGCGGACTCACCAATCCGATGACAATATTGTGCGAAAATCAATGAAGATTTGGAATTCACAAACCTTCTTCTTCTCAAGAATTTATTTATTTTATAATTGTTTTGTTTATTTTATTTAATATTTTATTATTATATTTATTTTACTTATTTATAATTTATTAATAATTATTCTATTATTATGTTATTTATTTATTTATTGAAGAATTTTATCAGGGTCCCTTTCAAGAGGTCATTGCTTGTGAAGTTAACGCGGAAAATTTTATTTCTCTTCAACAGCGGATTCCCTAATGCCATTATTACACTATCCCTTCCGGAGACCATAATGTCTCTCAAACTCTCATTTTCTTTGCACGGAACAGGAACTGAAATGCACGGCATTGATGAACTCGTTCAAGGACGCGCCGTGCGCTCGACAGCCAGCACCGTACCGTATATTTTGAATAAATAAATAGATATTTTGCAACTTGTATCTCATTTCGATCAAGCTGCTGCTGTTCAGCACGTATAAACGTCCCCATCGGACCAAATAGAACCCGTAACATGAAGAATTCTGCAGCACACGTTGACCTCAGTCTCGGAAGGTTCAGATGTACCGTTCACTATGGCGTCAACTTGTATAGCGGTAGTACACTGAATTTATTTCGAGCTACAATTTAGGAAAGTTCTGAACTTACTTAGGTACTTTTTTGTTCGGAACTCCAGGAACTATCTGAGACGACTCACGATTTTCCTGGGAAGGAATCTAGAAGAGAAGAGAGAAAGGAAGGAAAAATGTCGAAAATGACAGCTTTCAACCTGCTGAATTCCACAGTGCACTTTCGACACAAACTAATGCAAACTCGAATAAATCTGACATCCTATCCAGTGGGTGCCGCACGCGCGGCGCCACGCACCACAAGAACCTGGATCTCTTGACCCGCTTAGGAGAGCCGCAACACTTGGTTAAAATGCTATCGATTGAATGACTCAAAGAAGTGAATGTGCTCCAATAAGTCATTTCGAGTTTCTGGGTTTTCCACATTTTACATGCAACAAATACACCTGGCTAAGAGGTGATTAGAACAAAAAAGCGGAATTAACCCTTTGACGACAATGCGGATTTGCACGTAGCTTGCTCATGGGACCACGCCGCTTTTTTGGCGCGCCCAAGTCTCGCTAACAATTGGGCAAAATTGCCCTAAAAGCAGTTTTTCTATAGTTTCACAA